TATTCTTGACTTAACGTGTTAAGTCTTGATTTTTTTACTTCTGCTGTTCCTTCATGCGTTTCTACCAAGGTATCCCAAATCTGTTTTGCCGATTGACACTGTGATATGCAGAAGAATTCGTCCATACTGAGAGCGCTTTGAAGTATGTTGATTGCTTTCTTCTCATTCAAAATTCTCTTTTTGTCATCTTCATCATATGAGGATTTTATCTTTGGAGTTCCAACACCATTTACCACACTTGTAGGGACATGTGGACCAGTTTCTACGGTTTCCCATATACCATCTTCTTGAGCCTCAAGATGTGCCTTCATACGGATTTTCCAAAAGTCGAAGTATTCTCCAGAAAAGAGTGGTGGCTTGTTACTACTTCCACCATCTTTGAAAACCGGGTTAGTACTAGCGGAAGCCATTAGGATCGATAGGAACAGGTTACCTTAACCTGCTCTGATGCCAATTGTAAGTACAGAGTATGCCTAAGAGGGGGGGGTGAATTAGGACTTTTAGAACTTTTTCCGGTTTTTATGGTTTCTTGAAATTTTACTGGTTTGTGTTCTTGGTTATGAAAGCAGTAGAAAGTAAAAAGACAGTGGACACCAAGATTTATAGTGGTTCCCCTCACAATCCGAGAGTACTCCACTCCCCTTTCAACACGAAAGAGAGTTTTCACTATTGTTTAATAAAGTACAACCTATCACACCATCAACCGGTGAGGCCTACTATCAAACAATAAAAATCAACAAGTGTACAAGAACAATCCTCTTGTAAACACTCACCCTTGTGTCCAACAATCCTGGATCACAAGTCAGAATACAAATACTTGTAATGATTTTGTTTTGTGAATAATAATATCAATGTCAAAATTGATCTTCTCCAAATGATCAAAATTCACTCTTATAATTTTCAACACAAGTGTTCAACAGATGAATATGAAATTTTTATGCAATTATGAACACTTAGAAAGGATTTTGAAAATGGTGAATTTGATTCTAAGAATATTTGAAAATGAATGTTGGAGGTGTTTTTCAAAATTGAAAAACTCAGAATTTATATGTGTAAGCATACATTTTCCAACAGGTATATTTGAGTACATTTCAAAATATGAACTGGTATAATTTTCAAACCATTTTTGAATTTGAAACAAAGCCATTTTTCAAAATACGTTCAGTGTTAATCGGTTAACCTATATGGTTAATCGGTTAACACTTGAACGTTATACCAAAATATTTAAAATTTGAAATGGTTAACCGGTTAACCTATATGGTTAATCGGTTAACACTGCTATTTTTCAGAAAAATACTTATAAAAAAGTGTTATACCAATTCTAATAGTTTAAAAAATATGCTAATGCAATGTGATCAAATGATAAATATGTTGAACACTTGTATATCAATTATATTAATGAATTTTGATATACCATAGCTTGTGTCCAAAACTTGAAAGTTGATCATTCAAATGTTCATGAAGCTTTGAATGTTGATCACTTCTATTCCACTTGATCTTGGTCTTTTGAAAGCGTTTGCCTTTTTGCACAGATGAATTATTCTTGATCTTGATGTTGACGTCATCAAAACTTTGAGATGAAGCTTGCTTCTACAAGTAGTGCAATGTGATATGCTCCTAGAATGATGATGATATCTAGGATAAGAATTTAGGGTATGACACCCTCCTTACTACAGAATCTACTAATCTTCTCTCTACATGCCTAAACCATCTAAGTCTATTTTCCGTCATTTTCTCCACTATAGGCACTACCCTGACACTCACTCTAATATTTTCATTTCTAATTTTATCTTATCGAGTCTTATCACATATCTACCACAACATCCTCATCTCTACTACACTTACTTTAATCTCGTGTTGATTCTTAACCACCTTTGTCTCGTACAAATGAAAGGATTTAAAAGGGGGTTTCCAAAACAGAATAATCCTGATAAACAGATCTTGATTAAATCCTTAATCATAAATCAAACTCACCAAAATAATAATTCAAGAAATACCTCTTGAAGCATGTTTTGTCTTTTATCACGAACGACAGAAGATGATGGCGTCTCTAGGTAATCTGCGCGAGTGCGAAGTGGAAGAGGGTGTTACCCGTTTTCAGAGAATGACAAAATTGACAACTAAGATTGCGAAGGAAAGAACTTCTCTATTTATATAGATCTACTAAAACTCTAATGCTCTTATTTTTATTAAACTATTTTAATTAAATAAATAAAATATTATTTATATTTAATTAAACTTTATTAATAAAATAAAATAAAATACTAATTAAATTAAATCATCTTTAATTTAATCGATTGTTAATTCTCATATATTTTATTAAATCATATTTAATCAAATAAATTATATATGTGCTATTATATTAAATAATTTAAATGCTACTAACACATAATTAAATTAAATCTTATATAATTTAATTCGTTCGTTCCACTATTAGTATTCTATGTGTGTGACCTTGAAAGTTCTCGTAATGTTGGTAATAATATTAAATTGCCTATTTAATATTATAAATCGTGTGCGTATCTAGCAACATATTATTGTTACTCAAGTGACGAGAATATCATGTAATCTGACATAACATTTTTGTGATAATGATCATGTGTATAATTATCCTTTTTGCCCTTATATCTATATTGAGCACACTGCATAGAATGTGTCACCCATGTATATTCAATTATTTTATTTCTTAATCCTTGAGTATACTCGATAACAACAAATAACTTATGTAGAATTCTCATTGTGGGTCAATCCAGTATAAATATTACTCCTAATATTTATACCTATGTGAAGACTTGATAATACCTATGAGGCTATGACCTTTGAGATACAATTATCAATCTATTCACATAATAGTCTATATGCATTATAGTTGTCCTATTTGACATTATCATTTTACTACAAATACTTTTATAAAAAAAAAAATCGTTATGTTTAATGAGATCTCACGACTAAGAAATTCATTATATCATATACATATAATATAATAAATGCAATGATATATATATATATATATATATATATATATATATATATATATATATATATATATATATATATATATATATATATATATATATATATATATATATATATATATATATATATATATATATATATATATATATATATATATATATATATATATATATATATATATATATATATATATATATATATATATATATATATATATATATATATATATATATATATATATATATATATATATATATATAATCAATATTGATTGGCTATTAGTAGGGGTGACCAAACGGACCGTCCACCCCGCTTCAAACCCGACAAAAAAAAAAGAGGGACGAGCAAACCTGTCAAGTAAAATTGACCTTAAAATCTAGTCTGCCCCGCCAATGTGACAGATTTGCAGGCGGCATACTTGCTCGCCTATTTTTTTTCATTTTTTATTTATTTTGTTAATAGATTAAAAGATTTTTTTTTTTACATTTCATTTAGAAAACATCAAACCAACAATTAGAACGTATAAAAATGGCAACTAAAAGTCTAAAACCATCAAGAAATTTCACCTAAAATAGAACCATAAAAAAGAGTTCAAAAAATATAATTCAAATATTAACCTTCAACCAACTAAAATAAATACTTCGAGTGTTTGATAATTATGATGGTGGTTGGCGGGCCAATCTGCTTCTTTTTTGGCAGGCTTACGGTGAGACGAGCTTAAGGCGAGGCGGACTAAACGGGTAGGCAGACACAAAATTGTAACTCATCCCATAATTTTTTGGCGGGTGCGCGGGTTGGTCTGACTGGCCACAACCCATTTTGTCACCCCCAACTATTAGGGCTTACTCAAACAACAAAATCACAGGTCTTACCGTAGTCTGATAAAATTTTCCTTACAACTTGAGTGGTACCTTTGCATCACATAAAATATATGATACCTTACTCCATTTCAATCACCCAACTTGAATTTGATGTTTTACATCCCCTTCTATATCTCCATCATTTTGTAATACGAACCCAAGATATTTAAACTGTGTGACTTGAGTAATAACATGGTCTCCGACTTTAACACTTTTTTTTATTGAACTTACATTCCATATACTTATGCTAAGGTGAAAACCATGTGCTTCTAAAACCCATCTCCAAATTTTCAACCTCATTTAAATTCTCCTTCGACACTCCAAGAACTATATCAACTACAAAAAACATGCATCTCGGTGTTAACTCTTAGAAGTGTTTCGTGAGTACATCCAAAATTAAAGTAAAAATGTAGGGGCTTAAAGATAAAGCTTGATGCAAACCAATGGGAAAAATCGCTCGTCTTTCCACCCTATGTCCGTACATTAGTTGATACCCCTTCATAGATATCTTAAATAGCTCAAATATATGCAATCCTAATCCTTTTCTTCTCTAGGACATTCCACAAAATCTCTCTAGTCAATCCATCGTATGCCTTCACCAAATCAATAAAAATATATTTGGATCTCTCTAGGCAATCCATCATATGGTTTCACCAAGTCAATAAAAATATGTCTTCCAAACATATAAACGAACAAAATAACACGGGGAAATCATCATCATGCTTCAATACATGCTCTAAACATATAATAACTACTAATGAATTCCCTAAAGAAAGTAAAACAGCATACAGATTATAGAACTAGAAAAGCATACACCCTTTGCTAAAACAAAACACTTGAGCCCCGACTTGATATAAGTTAAAACTAGACAGAGGAAAAATGGTTCAAAAATTACAATGCTAAATTTCAAATCATTTCATTTACTTACAAAACTGTGAGAAATGAAAACATAGTCGGCGAGATGGACCACATACTTTTTATCAAATACAAGGAGATGAATCACAATCCACGATGTTAAATAACTAAAGGTGTAAAGAGTTCTTGTCAACAGTCATTTAAGATTTGCCAAATTAATTTTGTAGTAAGAAGAGTGGACGAAACCCGCATCCCATTATTTGTTTTGCATTTAACTCTCCTAAAACAGAGCATGGAGATCAGAGTGAATCAGCTGCTTTCAGTTTCAGGTGAACCTGTTTGAAGAAGAAATCATCAAATTCACAAGCTTTGCCCAGCATGCAGAAAGTAAGACCCAGTTAACCTTCTACAATGTTCTAATTGACTTTGCAATAAAATATAACTTCCTATCATCCGAGCTTATTGTTTTAGTGTTTATTTACAGCATAGACGAACCACAATCATTTTACAAAATCAAACAACAGATACTAATATCATCAATCGTTCTAGACAGTCTATGTTACTTCCCTAACTCGGGGTGATAACAAAAGTTCTGAACAGTCTCCACAATACATGAAATTATAATTTCTTAATGCCAGGGACTTGTTAAGGACTAACATCTAATGTACACTTACACATTATCTTTTCCTCATCATTTTCTTTTTTAGCTTTTGAAAATAGATTCAGTTTTTTATAGAAATTTTGAAAATGCGAAAAATTGCTTTCATTGTTTCTAAAAATTCATTATCCCTAACTAGCCTTCCATCTTCTCTATGTCATAATTGTTCAATGCAGGAAATTTTAAAAATGAAAAATTGAAAATGTTTTCGGAAAATAAATAGACTCTTACACTTCCTTTGTTGGTGCCACTTCTCTATACTTCCGTACCAGTTCCACTGGAAACATAGTGCTGCAAGACGTAGTACTCCAGCAGTAATAACCTCAACATATGCCATTAAGAATGACCTCTGAGGGGATAAACCTGAAGTTGCCAGGGACAACGCGATACCCTCCATATTGCAAGAAATGAAAAAACTGCCACTTCTTATGCCATCAAAAGCTTTCTGAGCAACTTCGTCGGCTTTCATAAAACCAGAAGAGGATGCAATGATTTTGGTGAGCTCTGGTTTTTTCTTATTTTCTGCAAGAAATAAATAAGATAACCTTTCAGTTTGTTCTTACACGTGGATTACACTACAGAATACATAAATTTCTCAACAGACAGCATAAAATGGTACTTGGCATGACAAAATCATAATTTATAATTAGGATTTAGGACTGAGCTAATAGTATCCCACATGCCAATACATCATATTCCCAAAGACACTCTCATAATATGGAAGCTAGACTTACTAAGAGGAAAAGATAATATTGAATTCCGAACATAATCATCTGGTAATTGGTGTAAAATTTGTTCCACAAATGAAATAATTTCAGAGGAGTTGTATATTCAAGCACTTCAACTGCAGGCCCTGTTCCCACATCCATATTGAGGTTGAAATAAACTAATGAGTTGTTTAGATAAGGTTACTTACCTTATTTTCAATGTAAAATGAGCCAATATCAATCACCCTAAGTAATGTGTGAAAATATAAGCTCGAGTGTCCAATTTATTACCTTCTACAAGTCCAGGAGTATCCGTGTCTGGAGGGAATATCAGAGAGACATGAATATTATCTCCTATAACCTCTTGTTGTAACGCTTCTGCTAAACCACGGAGGCCAAATTTACTGGCCGAGTAAGCTACATAACCATAAATTCCCACCTAGATACAGACATAAAGTCTACATTAACATGTAAATGAAAAACCACAGCATTACATCATCTCTTGATCAAGCAGAATCATAATAAACTTTGAAGAGTCAGACTACTAAATATGAGCACTTCACCACAAAAGATAAATTATTACTGCAAATAATGTTTCATCCGTGCCAAGTGCTGAAATGATACACTAAAAGTAATAATATTAAAAAACAGCAACCAACGGTGGCTAAGCCTAGCAAAACGAACTAGTTTCCCACAATCATGTTGACAATGGAATTTATGTGCATTGTCCATCCACTCTAACCAGCCAACTCAAATAGTTAAGCCTACTCATTAGTTAAAAATACATGCAGTTTATGCAGAAACCAAAGAGCAAAGGGGCATCAAGTCAACTTTTATAGCCGAACAAGCAATCTATAAACTTCTTCCACTCACGATCAATGACCGAAAGTGAGAATCCACATTCTAAAGTATTATCAAACCAGAGGCTGCTTCTTTGCCTTCAACAGCGCAATTAGACTGTAATGATCTTAGAATTGTCCAGTTAATTCATGCTTCAGCAGCCAATTGATATGTGGAAAAGGTATAGAAAATAGCGTCAACCTCATAAATCACTATACTCCTTTGAGGCATTTTACCAAACATCTTAAGTCACTGATACACTGTTAGGTATATATTGATCAAAACAAAACTATCATGAGAGTCCCACACTAAAAACAGCAACAAATTCAATACCTGACCAGCCTGCGAGGAAACCATAGCAATGGAAGCAGGTAAAACATTCTTCCTATCCTTCATGGAAGGCAAAGCAGCTTTAATCATATTGAAACAACCCATCAAATTAATATCCAACGTAGACTTCACCTCACTCAACTCCATTTTCTCCAGCTCCAGTGCAGAGAACACTCCATGGTTCAACAACAACACATCTATAGGTCCCGCTTCATCAACAGCCTTCTTCACCGCATCATAGTCCCGCACATCCGCCGCAAATACCGCCACCTCGATTCCCGTAGCGTGCTTGATGGAGCTCTTAGCTTCCTCCAGCTTCGTCAAGGATCGCGCCATGATGGAGACGCGAGCGCCGTCCGCGGCTGCACGGTGGGCGAGGGCGAGGCCGATTCCGCTTGATCCGCCAGTGATGAAGACGTGACGGTTGACGATTGGGATCTTGACTGGACGGGGGCGGGTTATGAAGTAGAGGATTGGGAGGAGGATGAGAGGAAGGAGGACGAAGAAGGAGAAGAATGCGTCTGCCATTGATGCAGCTTCGAAATCAAAAGGTTAAATATTTCGATCAAATTTACTACAAATTTATCGTTTTCTATTTTCTTTTCTAAAGATTCTCACATTGGTAATAGTCTTATTGGAAGTGTATTAAAATTAAAAGTAAACATTTATTTCAATCAAATATATATATATATATATATCTCTTCTTCACACAACTGTGAAAGACTTATTCATCGAACTAAAATACTGATTAAATTTTATAAGCGTATCGATTTCGTGAAAACATTTAATAATTTGTAATAAAATTTTGTATGTATTTTATATAAAGAACCAATCAAATTTGTAATAAAATTCTCATAATGACCAATCAAATGATATAATTATGAGCTATTGATAAATGGAGCGTTTAGAAAGAACCATATGATCTCATTCATAGCCTACAATAATTATACACTCCACTTCATTCATGTATCATGGGTCTTTGTCTTTAGCACATTATTAGTAATGTTTCTACCAAGTTTATCAAGAACATTTGCCACCTATTGTAGGGTTGAGCAAAATTATTTCCTCAATTACCATATCATTGATCCAATTGACGAGATGGCACGATTAATGTCCCCACTAGAAGAAAGGGGGACTTGATCACAATTTGAGACATCATGGACGAGTTGTAGTGTCAAAACGAGGTCTTGTAAACACAAGTGAAAGAAATCTAACAAGAACATGTAGGGTTACTCTAATGACGATTTAAAAGATCTGTAACCACTATGCATGGAAATTTGGGATGCCCTAGAACCAACGAAATTCAAACCACCACACCTAGTGACTTTGATAAAAAAAATAGAAACCAATGATCACCTAGCTAAAATCAACACGCAGATGGTGGTCATTAAACTCGTGGAACCACTTAAATTCAAACTCTTATTAAGTACTCTAAAAGAAGTGACACTTCGGTGATACCTGAACCTACTCCGGTATTGTGAAACAAGATACTTAAGTTTCTTCCAAAAATTGATATACTTTCTAGAAGTAAACATCACGCGATAACAACTATGGGCTTAATCAAAGTTTATTAGGGTAACTCAAAAACCTTGAAGAAATATCTAGTACAATTCAATGAAGCAACGTTAAGTGTGGCCAATCCTAACCAATACATTTTTGTGGGAGCATATCAAAACGGCTTGAAGGCCTCACATTTTGATGAGTTATGGCTAAGAAAATCAGTCAACGACATGCAAGAGGTAAAGAAGAGAGAAGAATACAACATAAATATCGATGAAATCAATCCAAAAAGAGAGAAGCATTGATTCTAAATAAAGAGCCCTAGAGCAGAACGACTAACCTGTCACACCCTAATTTTTGACCCTAAGATCCCACTCCCTTTTATTTATTTATTTATTTTCTGTTGTTTTTGTGTGTGTTTATTATCACTAACCAGTTTGCGCAGATGCAATTTCTTTCAATCAAGCACCACAAAGACACAATCTGCGAATTCTGTTTTAAGGGTCGTGAGCATTTAAGGCTCCTTAATTATCGCTCCTGAATTAAAGATGGTCGTTCTATCCTGAGGCGAGTAACGAAAGGATGGTTGGATTTACTCGCATCATTACTAAAGGGTCACGTAATTAGGGAATTATAGCCGAAATTTCTAAGAATGGTTATTATGGACCAAAGTTTTTTAAAGTTAAATTTGGAGCGTGGGTCTGAATGATTCTTTTGTTCAAACTCATCCGAGAGGGATTAAAACTTTTTTTAGTTCTGTTTATTAAAGGACTTCTCACCATTTCAAACTCAAATTTTATTTGTCAAAGTCCCAAGACGTGACCGTCAGTTTCCGTTAATTTAACTTAACATGGATTAAGGCTAACTCCGTGTTAACCTCAGGCGTTCTTGAAGGAGGGGATTCGCAAAACACCAGGTTTGGCTGATGAATTGCATTAAAATCTTTTACGGGTATAAGATGTGTTTCGAGTTGATTTTAAAGTCTGCGAGGCCAGATTATCTTCAAGGAGTGTCCTTATTTAGTTGGAACCATAATCTAATTTTAATTTTATTCGGTTTGTGAGCCATAGAAGGGCCCATCTCTAAAGTTCGATACCAAGTATATTACAATACAAATTCAAAGAGTATTCAAAATCAAAGAAGTTCGGGAAATCTAAAGCCACGTAATGCGGGTATGGTCACCAAAGTGGAGTTACAATACACCTGTGTTTATTCTTATACAATTGAAGTCTTATACAATTGTAATATCTCTTGAGGTCATCCAAAATTAAAACATCTTGCTGCAACCTTAATTACATGTGGATAATATCAAGGCACCATGCTATTAATTCTAAAACAATTCACAAAGACCACATCAGTGACCAGTTCTGTTCACAAGCTTATTCCTACACTTTCACAAGTTTTTCAAAAGGGAAGATGAAGCCGAGTATGAGCTGTGTTGCTGCTGATGCTGCACTTGGCATACGCGGGCTCCCCCAATACTCAGGGTTGCCATAAACCTTGCAATGCGACACCACCGAACGTCGAACCAACCGGGGTAGCTTCATATCTGTGTACTGCACTCTGCTCTTTGATTAGAGTTATAAACGCAACTCCTGAATTGATGTGCGGAACCGTTCGGCTGTCTGTGATGTCGAATCTCTAGAGTTTCATAAAATTGGTACTAGCTCTTGTCCGTCATGACTTGTTGATTTCTCTTGCAATCCGTAGCAGTTGATCGAACATTTTAGACCACCAAAATCAGCACAACGGAGTATAGCCGTCAATCTGCTAGAAGAGAATAGTAAGGATGGTAGTAAAAGCGCTTATTTTCCGGCATGAACAAAATGAGAGCAGCCGAAGATAGGCGTACCTGATACGCGTTTTCAAGACTCGACCTGTTATTGCCTGCTACACCGTATTTTGCCTCTCCTTGGAATTTCTGCATGCGCTTTCCTCAAACTCAACCTCAACACCGACCGTAAGTTGGAATCTGCTCACATCAAAGGCCTAAAACTAACAACCTGCAAAACAAAGGAAACGATACATCAGTATCATCATAACAATATCCAAACAGTGCAAAAGCTAAATAACTAATTGGACAATGAAGAAGACCTGTCATAATTTTGAGAAGCAAATGAATATAGGAATGCGCTTTAAAGGAAAGACAACTCTTAAACTTCACAAAGTCTCCAAGTCTTTCTCGGCTTGCTAAGAAGCTCTCGTGGTAGGCCAAGCCTCCAATGTAATTGCTACAAGATATAACCATATGGGACATTTTAAATAAGGAGGACATTACAACATCATGCGCACACATCTGCCATCCCATGAGTTTTTTCGTGAAAAAGGCTTATGAAGGTTCCATAATATAGACAAGTCATACCAAGTCAAGAAAGGTACAGAAGAAGAATGTATCCTCCACCCACATAAACCAAAATCGACACAGATGACGGTCATTAGCACATGCATTTATCAAATTCAGGACATCGTATGTTTACAACCTTTGAGATTACCTGCATATTTGCTATACAACCTGGTTACTCCATTTCGTGACCTTTCATGAGCGGGAAGAGAATGATGTGGCCTTCAATTGAGTAGTTCGACAGACCTGCGTCAAACATGACATCCATCAATTAGTGACCCTTGCTTGCTTTCATGGAAAACCACCTGATGCCTTGAAAATAATGGTTAACCTACACATGAACAAACAACGTGAGATTTCCCAAAGCGTAACTTAACCAAGTCAGACTTTCCTTTATGGAAAATCACAAGATTCCAAAACAGGCGAGGTATTCATGGAAACTTTTGAATTAAGAAATCATTAACTCCTACAAACGTCAAAAGAAAAGAACAAGATCAAACATAATCGCACATATTTGGAAGATTATTTACAGCTGCAAGACAATATCAAGCACAATCAAGATAAATAGGGAAGGTTAATGTTGTCTAAGCAAGAAACCGTGTTTTAATAGCAACAATATCTAGTTTCCGAATCAATACCCATGTGCTGAATCTAAAAAGGAAAGAATTTGAGTTGGCGGAACAGGTTTAAAACATAAACATAAGGGTATTCATTTGGTGAAATTATGTGTTCAGAGTAATATAACGGTTTATAACAACGTTCCATAACGATTGGTGAACATGTTGGCACGAAATTGGAAAGGTATTCATTGTGAAATGATACAAGGATCCATAATATTCAATTCAAAGGTAAGAGGTTTGGACCTATAAAATGAGGAAACAATGACAGAATAGAAAACACAGCAATTCACCGAAATCCACAACATCTCACAAAATCCCAGATTGAAACCCCTAACAAATCGTAAAAAAAAGGAGGAACTTATCTCTTTCTGAATCCACCACGGAATCGCGACCCAAAACCCTTGCCGGAAAACCGCCGTCGCCGCAAAACCTTCATTCGCCGCGAATCATCCTTCACGAAACCCCCTCGTTCATCGCTGTCAAATTCCTCGCGATGGTGAGAAGCCAGCGAAGCCGTGAGCCCCTGTTCTTGCTAACTTTGTTATTCTGTTTATTCTTTGTTTGTTTTTAGGAATTGAAGAGAAAGAAACGAGGTGGGAGAAAACAAGATGAAGGGAGAAGGGATTTGAGAAGAATTGATGAAATACTTGAGGAGAAGAGAAATGGCGATCGAGAGATGGAGGACGAGAGAAGCCATAGACGGAGAGAAAGGGATCGAAATTGGGGCCTAGGGTTCTTGTTCCATCTTGCTGTTTTTGTTGTAATATAATCACACACGACACACCCACATACACATATGATGCACCCTTCATCATCACCGCACGATCTCCAACAGATCAGATCCAACGTCCCATACACGCAGACCACCGTAACCCATACGCCCTTACTCCACCGAATCAATCCGCCACCTAATCTCACTTAACCATTTTAATTAATCAACTAATCAGCTTTTTACTTAATCGTTAAAATTAATCAACCTTTTTATAAAATTAATTAATACCTTTAAATCAATTAATTAACCCACTAATTAACCCATTAATCCCTAATTAACTTTATTCAATCAGTTT